TGTTTTTGAATTTAAAAAAGTTTGTTTTATTAAATTTATAAAATTAACACCTATAGCCGCGCTTTTGAAAAGCGCTGCTGAAACCCACACATATAGCAGCACTTTCATCTAAAAAACACTCTCTAAGGTCTGTCTTAGGCAGACCCTATAGCAGTGCTTTTCAAAAGCGCTTTCGTATACCCCCCCTTTAGCAACGCTTTTTAAAAGCGCTTTCGTATACCCCCTTTAGCAGTGCTTTTTAAAAGCGCTTTCGTATCCCCCCTTTTTAGCAACGCTTTTAATAAAGCGCTTTCTTTTGTAATAAATACCCCCCCCCCCCCCCCCCTTTAGCAGCGCTTTCTAAAGTCAGTAAATTTTTTCCTTTGTTTTTTTAACTCTTTAGTCGCGCTTTTACAAAAAGCGCAGTCTTTTCCACCCTGCCAAAAAATCATTTTTGGCATAGTGTTAATAAATATTTGATGAATTTGGTGTCTTCTAATAAACTATTCATTCATGTTGTTTGATGTATTATTTCATGTGAGACTATACTTTTCTAATAAGATTAATTTGATATTGCAGACATTATGATAATGATCTATTCTAAATTTTATACTTGTGATATTGCAGCGCTGAACTATAAGGAAAAGAAGAGAGGTATGATATAATAGTTGGGATTTGGTTGATCCAATAGAATCTGAAACTTTTTGGTACTGTCATTCTCTTGCATAGTTTCTACATTTATGTTGATATGGAGCATGAATGAGTTATGCAGCCGGTTTGACTGATTACTCACGAAACTTTGGTTGAATGTAATCTGCTTATTTTACTTACTGCTCAGGGTTTTGTTCAAACATTCTTGGAAAGGTACTTCTTTGCATTGCATTTTCGGAGATACAGTTTTTTAAAATTCTGGTACAACCTTTATTCCTTTTCTCTTTTAATTTCTTATAGGATTATGAGGTGTATAAATTGATGCCACCAATTTTTGTGTTATAGCAAACTTCTGAGTTTTATGTGTTAGAGAAAACTTTTGCCTGCTTTGACATTTTTTTTTTGGAAATTGAGTTGAATTCAAGATCCGTCCATTTTCATGTTTACTGTAATGGCACACAAAGGGTTAATTGTTGGACTGACATATTCACTTGAAGATGAATGTATTGCCTCGGCTAGCCCAATTGCTTGATGAAAATATGGAGATAAGGATTTGATGCAAATGCTTATGTGCCATGATGTTAATCTTTAGGGAATAAATAATGACAGTATTTCCTTTTCTTTTATATTTTTTTTGAGATTGTTTAGAATCTCTATAGTTGAAAGTTTATCACAATCAAAGGGGCTGTTTCATTTAAGTCCCAATAAAAATTTTAATATTTGAGTCAAAATCAAAATTTATGATATGAAATAGAAATATATCTCTTTCTTTTCTTAAGATCTATTGAAAGACAAATATTGAAATAACAAAAAAATTCAAGGTTTTGTTTGGGGTGACTTATATTTTATGTTTTGAAACTTTTAAAAATTAAAATTACTTTTGAAATTTAAAATCATATGACTTTTACACAAATATTCACATATAAATATTAAAGACAATGTAATAAATAAAAATAAATATCAAAAATATAACCATTAATATTTTAATAGAATACTTATTTTTTTTCTTCTCTTTTTTATAGATTACTTATATACAAAGTTGAATTAATTTAGAATTCAATGAGATCTTAAATTTGTTACCATTCTTTACTTATATTTATCGACTCTCTTTTCAGCAAAATATATAACTTTACCATTTATATACCAAAAGCATAAGTCAAATATTTTAATATTAATTTCAAATGGATATACTCTACCTACTATTTCAATTTATTTATTGATTTTCATGGTTATTTTATTCATAAGTTTAAAATTTACTCTTCAACTTAATTATTCTATTTTATTATAATTTTTGAGACGATTTACAATAATATTTTAAAGCAACGATCATAATTAAATTAAATGCTATATATTGTATTGATTTCAACTTTTTTTTTATCTTTATCATTTTTTTAAGTATGTCAGTTTTTTTATATATTTTATTAACAGTAATTTACATTAATTTATTATATTATTTATATGTTTTAAAACATATTAATTAATTAATAATGATTATTATAAAACTTTATTTTCAATTAAAGTAAAATTTTATTAAACTTGTGGAGTTTGAAGGACTAACAGATTGAATTTCGAGGGATTGGATAAGTCTCCATGTAAACATAGAAAAGATTGTAGTATAATAAACCATGACCAAAGATAAATTAGTGTAAATGTAAGACTTTATATTATAAATAGAAGAATTTAACTAAAGGTTTAATGACCAGAGAAGGGAATAAAGTGGCCGAAAACAATAAATTAATTGAATTCAATATCATGATAATTTATGGTTTAAACAAATTAGTAGATTTTAAATAACATATTCTTATAAAAATAAAAATAAAGCATACTATAAAAGTAATGTTTTATCTATCAATTTTTAACTCTAAAAATAAAAGTTAGGATCACAATTATTTATTATATTAAAAGTAAATAAATGATTTGTTTATTAAAAACTTTTAGATTTCAAATTTTAGCATAACAAAACTAATAACAGTTTACCAACTATTTTTTAGACCATTTCTATATTTTTTCAACTAAACTTTAATCCTAATTATTATGCAAAATTTTTATTTATATCTTAACCTTTTTAAATGGATTTAATTATGCTATATTTTAAAACTTTAGTAGATACATTTATTGGCTAGCATTATTAGTCACCGGGCTATCTCACCTTTTGCCATAATATTAAAAGCCATTGATACACACAAAATACAAAACAAATAATAATAATAATAATAATAATAATAATGATAATAATAATAATAATAATAATAATAAATTAATATATTAATTACTAAATACATAAATTTTAAACATAATATATAAATATAAAAACAAATATGTAATATATTTTATAATGATGATATATACTAATTAAATCTAATTTCAATATTATATATTTTTTCATGTTAAAATTATTCTGGGTCGATTCCAATTTTTATGAAATTGGTATAATACAAAATTAAATTAAATACACTATATATAACATATTATATATCAGAATTACTTAGACAAATATTTAAAGAGTCAATACAATTATAATAAATTTTATTTTCTCATATCATAAAATATTTTAAAACATGAAAAATAAAACTACTAATTCAATTATTGTTATAAACGGGATTTACTATATTATTGATTCAAATATTTTTATAAAGACTGTCAAAACAAAAATAATATTTTGATTCAAATATTTTTATATACGCGAACAACTTTATTATTGATTCATATATTTTTATAAATAGTATCAAAAAAATTTTAATATTAAATTACGAAAAAAAATACATTGTTGATTAAAATATTTTTATGTAAGAAAGAAAATATTATTGTTATAAATGAAAATAATTTTATTATTGATTCAAATATTTTTATAAATATTGTCAAAATAAAAATAATATTTTGATACAAATATTTTTAGAAACAAAAACAAATTTACTATTGATTCAAATATATTTATAAACAATGTCAAAACTAAAATATTATTTATACACAGGATAAAATATATTATTGATTAAAATATTTTTATATACGAAAACAAATATTATCGTTATAAGTGAGAGCAATTTTACTACCGATCTAAATAATGAATAATTAAAATTTATCGACGCGCAAACACAATATATAAGTAATGTAAAAATAAAAACAATATATTTATATACAGAAAAAATAAATTATTGATTAAATTATTTATATAAATGAAAAAAAATCTTATTCTTATAAACAAGATTAACTTTAATTATTCAAATATTGAATAATATGAATTTATTAACCATTTTTTTAAATATGTAAAAAAATTAATGAAAAAATTACTATTATTATAAACGGTAATAAATTTATTACATTTTTGAAATAAATACACATACTAACTATAAATTTTTTTTTAATCAAATCATAAATAATAAAATACAAAAATAAAATAATTATAACGAAAATATGAAATTAGTGATCAAAATATTAAATAATAATGAAAAAAAAATTATTATTAATTATAATATTTTTATAAATAATGTCAAAACAAAATAATCTATTAGACCAACTCCAATGGGAGTTCTTAAAGTAGGTTTGCCAACATGACACTCATATTTGTTGTTTCCAAGATTGTCATGCTGTTCAACGGTTCTTAATTAAACAACGATTCTTCAACGATTCTTATATTAAAATATTAATTTTATAATATAAAAACTATAATTTAATATAAAATTTTATTTATCATTTTAATTATCATATGAAATTATAATTACAATATTAAAATATTGATTTTATAATATGAAAACTATATTTTAATTATAAGTTTAAATTACAAGTTTAATTTGAATTTTATTTATTTTAAATTTTAATTTTAATTTTAATTTTTTTTATTTTATATCAAATTTAATTTAAAACACTAAAATTAACCGAGGAGAGATTGAAATATTTTTTTTAAGTTTAATCTAATTTTTTTAAAGTTTATATAGTATAATGAAATATTTTTCCTTAAAACAACACTATATACCAGTTAGACTATATAGTAGACTGAAATAATTTTCTGTAAAAAAAATTAAAATTATTATTTTAAGTGATATAGAATTTAATATGAATAAAATATTAACATATAAAAATTTTTCAGAATTGCATCATTGAAGTGAAAATTTAGTTGAGTTGTTTCAAGTTGACATGGCTTAATAGGTCCACAAAGAATTAAAAAATGAGTTCACGATTGGAGATGTTATTAAGAGAGATACACGGGAGATAATATGATAGAAATATAAAATAATCTATGTAGTGGGCGGGTGGGTCGTAAGCAGACAAGCCCAACGAAAAAAGAAAACACTACTTTTTCTTGGTTATGAATATATAGAGAATCGGTGTTTAGGGTTTGCGTGCATTCGACGACTCACTTGTGATTGGTTTCAATGGAATTCAATACCGATTCGTTCGGCGTCACCCGACCTCCTTCGGAAAGCTTGCCAGAAAGAGGTAAGTTGCTCAAATTGGAATCGGAATTACAACCCAATTTGGGATCTAAACCTCAACCGGAATCGGAATTACAACCCAATTTGGAACCTAAACCTCAACCGGAATCCAAATTACAACCCAATTTGGAACGTAAACCTAGACTGGAATATCTTCTGAGTTCCAAACCAATGAAAAAGCTTAAGATGAGTGATTTCTCTATGTATGACGATGAGCCCGAGCCTTTCATGTTTATGCACCGACGCTTTGTGTATAAGAATAAGGCTCAGATTAAACTAGATGAGGAAATTAAAGTCGCCATGGATGACCATAGAGAACGCTCTCGCAACCTAAGTGTAACCATCTCTATCTATCTTTCTCATTTTGCTATTTCAATTGATTTGTTTTCAAGTTTTTGTTTAATTTTGATTATGCTAAACACAGCCTTTTGATGCTATCGGCCGCCCAAAAATATCAGATACATGTGGTGGTGGTCCACGACCCATTCCTATAACCGAAAGTGTTCGTCTTGAACTCACTCCCCTCTGCAAGCTTGCTTTAGACAAATACAATGCTGACAAGGTTCAAAACTAGTGCTATTTATTATGTTTATTCATTCATTCATTGATCTATCAACTAATTAATCTTTTAATTTAGGATACACATTTTGTGTTTGCTGACATTGTCAAGAGTACTTGGTGCCCTGGTGCCATGTATTACATTACCTTTCTAGCACAAGATTCTTCCAACAACAACAACAACACTTCTCTTACAACTTTTCAGGCCCAAGTCTCCAATCGGAGGCCCGCGCCTAAGGTCTACTCGTATGCCATTAAAACCTAGCACACTCACCTCACCTCACCATGGTAATAATCTTGCATTAATATTATGCATGGATGATTACATTTTTTTAAATCTTGTCTTCAACATTTATAAATGCTTATAGTCCCTTTCAAATTGTATTTTATTTTGTTATTTATAATATGCTTCACCCACTTTCTTTTTTCATGGAATGCTGACACTTTTCTATTAGTTCTATTATTGTTTATATATCCTTTTTTAAAATACTAATTCTTGCCACACTTCTTTTGAAACTGCATTGTTTTTTTTGTTGCTGTGTAAGCCATGGCCTGCCGACACCTTTCTTGAATGTAGACTGAACCCTTACTGGATTAAGGCATTAACACATAGATTAACCAAGCCTGACATGCAAATCAACCATTTCAAAACAACATTTGGTTATGTAATCTTCATCCTTGTGCTAAAGTCCACAGGTTCCCTTTTGGCCCGCTCACTTGTTCAACTATTCAGATTCAATTTCTGTGCTGTCAATGTAATCCAAAAACGTTCTTCTACTGAATTTCTTTTCGGATTTTATTTTCCATCTCATGTCAATACACTTTTCTTTATCCAATCACTCACCTGAGTAAGCAGACTAGTATTTGGCGGTTCTAGCATATTCTGATGACTTTCAATTTCAAGAGAAAATTTGTGCTTAGTCATTTTTACTTTCTTGAAATTGTAACCTCACTTTTTTAGAGTTACAATATAACCTTGCTTGCCCTTGTCCCCAAGTATGTTGTATTTATAATAACTTCATCTTTGAATGATTTTTTGTTGCTAAAGTATGTGCAACCACTGTGTTTGTATATTCGCCACAAATACTTTTTAAGAACTTTGCTTCTTTTTTAACACTGTTTATGCAGTTTGTGTATACCCTACTTCTGGATTTATGGAGAATTGTTCTGAGATAGATGAATTTCACTGCATATTTTTCATTTTATTTTTTTGAACGACAAATGTTAGGATGTTAGTTGTTTGTATCTTGCTTGTAGTGATATGTAATTCCATGCTTGTAGTGATATGTTTCTTGAATTTATCCATAAACTCTAATTCTTTATTCCTTTTGCAGGAAATGATGTATATTGCATCTAACTGCCGTGAGAATGTGTTCTTGTGAAAGAAAGCCTTTTCAGACTTCTGATTATAGTTTTAGACTCTGTCATACAAGGGTTTTCATCTCTTCATTTTTAGTTATATAAATCAAACATTTATTAAGCAAAATAGACCCGTGAAAGCACATATCGAAGAAAAATAAAGTTGAAATATTTTGGTATTTTAACATGTACAAACTTCTGATTGTAGTTTTAGAACCTCTGCACGGTTTTATTGTGAGCAAAATCATTTTCTATTCTGATTCATAAAAACTTGTATTTAGAGTCATATATGAGGGTGTCCATAGCAGTCCACAACACATGTCTCACATTTTGTCACAGATAAACCATAATAAGTAAAACATCATACACATTCGCAGCGATCAGAATACAAGTTTTTAAACTTTTAAAAATATCATTAAAATCATTTAAACGAGATTTTAATATTAATTTAAATTATTATAAAAAGATGCACTTAATGTAACATTCTATTTAAGATAATTCTAATTATGTGAGTTATTTTATACACAAATTGATTGAAAAAATTAAGGATAAGTTTGTTTCAATTTTTTAAAATTGATTTTTATAGAGGAATATATTTTTGTTGATTTTTATTTACAAAGAACTACTGTTTAAAAAATGTTTTAAATAATAATATAGTTTAAATAATTATTCTTAAAATATTATTTTAAGTATTTTATCTTTTTGTTATAATTTTTTGTTTTTGAATATCAAAATTTAAAAAAAAAATACTTAAATTTGAAGCAATTTCAAATAGCTTTTTTTAAGAATCAATTTTGAGATATATATTTTTGAAAAAATTGTGATTTTGACTATGATTTGATCTTTATTAATATATATTTTTGTTATAAAATATTGTAGTGTTATATATGGAAGAGGTCTTGCATAGAGTGATTCCTAGGATTGTCTTAGGAGGAGGCGACAACCTTAGGTCGGCCGGTGGAAGATATCACTCACCCTCAAGTCTTCCTTGCTTATGCAAGAGAAACGTGAGATAAAACGTGTATAAGATAAATAGGAAGGAATGACAATTACTAACTCACGTTTTTCTAGTAAATAGGGATTCAAGTGTCTACTATTTGACTAAGTGGGCGGTGACTTTTTTTGAAAGAACCTTGGGTCTAAGATACCCCTATAAATACATTACCAGTCAAACTGAAAAAGATACACTCCAAGTCATACAAACCCCTTACAACTCTAAGAATACCACGCTCCTTACCGTCTAAATGTGCACGACTAACATAATCGCTCATCTACAATCAAGTAGTGTTGACCGCTTGTAGGGGGTCTCTCACCGCATGTGAGCTGGTCCTTTAAACAGTCACAAAAATTACCACATATGACTTTTGGTCGCAATGAGCAAGTCTTCGCTAACAGAACATGTTATACTCCTACTAAGACCTATAAGCTTTCCTGCTCCTACAGAGGGAACGTGCACGCCTGTATTTTTTTACCAGTACATTGGCGCCCACTGTGGGGTCCTAGTAAAACTAACCTGGACCACATCTTTCACTCTAACACTTTTACCCCCCCCCCCCCCCCCTTTCTATATAGATGGCTAATAGGATCCTGCATCACAAAGCCAACACCATTGTTAGAGGTATCTCCGGGAGGAGCTTCTCCAGAGCCGCCTAAAGAAGATACGCGAAGTAGGTATTTACGGCGAACATCATACCCTCTGGGTTTCCTTGAAACACCATCGGAAGGTCATGGTTTAACATCATTTTCTCTAAAGAAGATGCCTTGGACATCAACCCTCACGACAATGATGCTTTGCTGATGGCAGCTGGGATATCAGGCGCGTCCTGCTAGACTCGGGATGCTCTGCCGATGACCTATTTTGGGATGTCTTCCAGAAGTTGCATATGAATCTAGACGACATACATATTTCAGTGGATTTCTGATAGGATTATCTGGCGAAAGAGTACAAATAATGGCCAAAGTGACCCTAAAAATCACATGCGACGAGGGACCGAACGTCAAAACCATCAACGAAGCAACCTCATCGTGGATACCATGCCCCCTTACAACATCATCTTGGGGCATCTGACCATCAACGTGCTAAGGGCGGCCGTATCCATCTGATATTTAACTCTGAAATATCCACTCGGTTTTAGCACACGATTCTTCGAACAACAACACCTCTCTTACAACTTTTCAGACCCATGTCTTGAATCAAAGGTCTGTGCCTGAATCAAGTCATGTGCCATTAAAATCTAACACACTCACCTCACCTCACTATGGTAATAATCTTGCGTTAATATTATGCATGCATGATTACATTGTTTCTAATCTTTTTTTCAACATTTAGAAATGCCTATAGTTCCTTTCAAATTGTATTTGATTTTCTTATTTATAATATGTTTCACCCACTTTCTTTTTTCTTAAATAGCTATGGTTGGTTCCTTTGTTTGGGGGTGGGGGTTATTTTTTCGATTCAGATACAATTGTTGTGCCGCCAAATCAATGTTGTTGGAGTAAGCCCTAATAGCCAATCAATATTGGCTGTATATGCTTTTGTATCATGACCTTGATATATATATATATATATATATATATATATATATATATATATATATATATATATATATATATATATATATATATATATATATATATATATATATATATATATATATATATATATATATATATATATATATATATATATATATATATATATATATATATATATATATATATATATATATATATATATATATATATATATATATATATATATATATATATATATATATATATATATATATATATATATATATAGTTTGTTAATGTATATACTTATTACCCATTGTATTTCCTGTGTTACTTGTATATGACATAATAAAGTCCTTAGAATAATTATTCTGTTTAATGATACATTAAGTGTGACTTAATCATGAGACTTTATTAAACATAAAAACATTATTTTTAAATTATTTGTATTCAAGCTTTATTGTCAAAGTAGACTAATAACTGTATCTCACAAGTCATGGATATGAGATATCAAGTTTTCACGTAGATATAAATATTAAGAGTAATATTTATAATAGATTGACCAACCATGAGAATACTACATAGTTTGTTATGTAAGTGTCATAAGTCTTTCTCATAGTGATAATGGTGTATACCACCCTTCGACCTGAAAACCACTATGGACCCTAGATCTGAAGTCGAATACTTTACTGCCAATCAAACGTCGTCCGTAACAAGATGACCATAAAGATGGTTTTTGGTTACTTTACAAATCACGTTGAGTGACATGAGTGACCTAGATGAGATTTTTCCCTCCTACATATACAGAGTAATATCTGTAGGCCCCTTGATAGAGTATGATCATAAAATATATGGTTGTGCTCAAATAAGTTGATATGAGATATTGAGCTTATTTGTTGTTATCAAGTATACTTAAGGATCAAAGAATAAAATATTGGACTATACAAGGGTGACACATTCTATGTCCTGTGTTCAATATAGATATAAGGGGAAAAGAGTAATTGTACATATGATCATTATGACATAAGATTATGTCAGATCACACGACGTTCTCGTCACTTGGGTAGCACTTATGTGTTGCTAGATACCGTTCACTGTTTATAATATTAAATAACTAATTTAATATTATTGTCAACGTTACGAGAACCTATAGGGTCACACACATAGAGCGCTGATAGTAGAATTGACGATTAAATTAAATAAGATTTAGTTTAATTATGTGTTAATAGTATTTAAATTGTTTAATACATTAGCACATATATAATTTATTTGATTAAATTTGATTTAATAAAATGAATGAGAATTGACACTTGATTAAATTAAATATGATTAAATTTAATTAATATTTATTTTATTTGATTAAAAATATTTAATTAAATATAAATATATTTA